ATTTTTTTAAATAGTAGCATAACATTCAATTATTTGTAAAATAATTTATTATTTAATGAAGTTTAAAGAGAAATTTAATAAAAAAAAATCCCAAAACATGTTTGAGACTATAAATAAGCACCCTATAAGAAAAAAAATTTTTTCAAAATGTTTGTAAATTTTTTCTTTACACTTTAGCACTGGTCCTGCCATCTATGATTGGTATCTAAACCTTTTTTAAATCTGTTTTCTTTATAAAATGGAATCTGGGCCTGTTAAACCTCAGTTGTAAAAACTTTTAGCTAATCATAGTTGAAAGTGTCAATTTCAGTACCATGTTATTCCAATTGCTGTATATCACGTTTAACAAATCATATAAGCAAAGCACGTGATGAAACATTGTTCTCTGGATTTTACAATATGAATGTGAAGGGTGCTTATTATAGTAACTGCCATTTTTTACAGAGGTTGTATTTAGTATTGGTCACTAGTACTTTTTATAAGTCTTAGGAAATTTGCTTCTGGAAAAAATCGTATAGGATAGATGTGATTTTTATTCTTTTTTCTATAGTAGCTGAAGTCATGCTGTATCTTATATCTTTATATTAATCATTATATTGAAAAATTAACTCAAAATAGATATATTTTTAGGAAAGAAGTTGATCTACGAATGTTAGGGTTAAGATCTATCAAGTGGCGAGTGAATGGTCTTTACGTGAATTAAGCTTTGCACTTTGAACTGAAAGAGTTTGTGATTTTTTATATTCTTTTGCATTTAAATTAGTAGTTTTAAGTTCAATAATTTAGCATAATTTTATATTTAGTTCATAATAAAAATATGATTCAGTATTTAGAATGATAAACTTGTGTGATTTGTATGTACAACTACTAGTACCAGTACCACGTAAGAATTTTATATTTTTCCTTCTTACTGTCTTTACTTTTTAGTAAGACCTACACTTCTATTGTTGTTGCTTTATAATTAAAACAATCTAACTGATATATAAAGAGTTTATTCTGATATTTTGCAAATGGTTTAAATCTCAGTGTACAAGTGACAACAATAAAACCATATGTTGGTTGTGAAACAGACTAAACACATTCATTCGTCTCAATAGTACAGGAGAAGCTGTGACATTCTCACAGTTGGGGTCTCAATATACCGAAGAGCTTAAGTTTCGATTTCCAACACAAATCATGCCTTTAATGAGAGGAATGTAACTAGGACTAATCTTTTAAATGCTGTAAAGTAATTTTCTTTGTAATTTATGGTGTCTGTATCAATTGGTAATCTCTTGTAACAGGATGTATCATGTAACTAGGGTCAGGCGGTGTTATTTAAACTACCTTTACTGTAAACTATTACATATATTCACTAGTAGTGGCAATTAGTTTTGTCTATATAGTGAAACAACATACAAAGACATACGTTGAAGTAAACTTGTTTGAAGGTTCAAAAAAATTATATTCAAGTACCAAAAAGCTTTCTTGCTATCATATCTACAGTAATGTTCATATGAGCTTGCACTGAACTGAACGAGAGTGACCACCAACAGGCACGATAGTTTATGGCAAATGTACAACATTCACGCTGCTAACCTTACAGTTTTTTGCCACAATAAACAAAAGTACGGCTGCAATGAAACATAAACTTGAAATAAAAATACATTTATGAAACAAAATTAAAATGTTTCTTATGTACATAAACATGAAATCCTAGTTAAAAATAAAAAAAATACTCATTTATTGTTTAGGTTTACTTAGAACTATTATTTTTGGGTTTTGTATATTACTTGAAACCATAAGGAGAATACGTAATTATTAAAAACATTAAAAATAGAAAAAATTTGCATTATTTTAAAATAAGGTACTGAAACATAAAAAGTAATAAGTTCAAATCTGAAACAAATATAAATATCATAATCATTTCTTATAAATACCATTTCCTAATGTAATTTTCCAAGATATTAAAGATCGTAATGCAAAAAACCCTAAATTTATCAAAAGTAACAGGCTTTATATTTCTTAAACTACGTGCATTTATGAAAGTTCTTATGAAGTTTCAAACAATTTCGTCCACTACTTTTATTGTTGAAACAAAATATAGCAAGACTTGCATTGGCTACTCAGAAAGTTAGTAGCCAGTGGTCATCAGGTTAATTCCAATCCCGAGTTGTGGAATCTAGGCTATCTGGTTGGGGCCTGCCTATGCTTATATTCTATTCCACCTTTGATATAGGAACTGAGTTCCAGGTGAAGAGCATACCTGTTCTGAATGTAATGTGGTTCCCCCATTCTTGTAGCATCTTTAACTTGGTACACTCGTGTTCTATACAGATGCTTTCTGTATGGTTCATGCCTACACTGGCCCCTCCACCTTATCAGTGTGGGATTCTAGCTATAGTGTCAGTGGAGGTATGTTTTGGAAGTTCACATTTTCCTAAACTGAAAATGTCTTTCTAATAATACTTACCTCTTCTGACACTCTCCCACTCTCCTCTCTAGAAGCTGGTTTATGTCTCAAAAAAGTGATTACAGTATCTGAACGAGGTGCTTATATACAGTACTTAGATCGAGGGTACATTAAAGTTGGTGGAGAATTTTGCAAATTACAATTTGCCAAGGGCATTTGAGTGGGGTATAAAAGACTGGAGCAAACGTTTTCAATGCTTAGATGGGCAAAGAGTGGAAACCCTGGAGATCAAGAAATAACTATAATGTCAGTGGAGGTAAGTATTGGTGGAAATACATTTTCAGTTTAAGAAAACGTTAACTTCATCTATGGTAGTAAGAACCATGTTAATGCATCTACAATTTCCTGAAAGGTATACTGAGGATTTAGGTTCCATTTTTGGAAGACAACAATATGACATAAAACATATAGCACAGAAGTCTCCCACTCATGATGATATTTCAAGCATTGTTACATTTAACTGATGAGACTTATGAGATAATCACCATGCTGTAAAACCCTTAATATAGATGCTTATGCAAAGCCAAAAAATTGAGTAATTTGGTTTGGTAAAGCACATATTGATGAAGTTCTTATAATCTGTTCTCCTTGAAAATCAGTTAAATTACACTTATTTCCCATGTTGCATGACCGTTAATGTGGAATAGAGCTTACGTATTGAAATTTGATGAGGAACTCACTTTTCATAAAATACAATCTTATTGAAACATTTAGACTTATATTAGTGTTTTCTTCATTACCCGTTCAAGAGCTTATGTATGTTTAAACGATACAAATTACTTGTCCAAAAACTCACTAGCATAACAAAGTAATCAGTCAGCTCAGGATCTAATTTATGAAAATCTGGGGAGGAATGTGCACATGTTTAAGCAGGTGTTTCTTTTTGTTTTTTTCCCATTCAAATACTGTACTTATATATACATAAAAACTATTCTTCCATTGCTAATTAACACACAGTCTTCACTGTATTTAAACCTATTTTATCTATTTCACTTGTACCTCAGTTTTCATTTTCTCATGTCCAAATTGTTTATTTCTTATGCATATATTTCTTTTGTAATTACTAATATTGTTTGTTTGTACCTCTAAATTATTGATGATGGAATTATGAAGGTTCAGAAACGTTTAATAAATGCTTCTTGTTATTACATTTGTGTTTTGTTTTATCATTAAGCTATGTTTTCCGAAAAATGAATCAATTACTAATAAAATTACTGTGAATTAATATTGGTAGCTTGTGTATTTCATGTAGTAAATTTTGACTGTAAATAATGATAATGCTTTAAAAAATATATACTTTGTAATATTCTACTGTAGTCACTGAGGTTTGCTTGTGTTGAACAGTTGAAAGCTGTTATTAAAATGAATAATCTGCTTGGCGAACTGTAAAAATGAATTAACATCTTGAACATCTTAAAGGCCAAAAGTAATGACTACCGATACATCATCATTTGTCAAACTTATTATTGACTGGGATACCTTGCTGAATGAAAAAGTCAAAGAATTATTGACAAAAACAATATTGAATATAAAGGAACCTATCTATATTAGAGAAAAAAAACAGCTACTTAGGATTAGAGATCAGCAATCCACTGATTTAAAATGAAAATAAGCTAACTTTTCAAGTAGCAGGTAGAGAAACTATATTGAAGAGCTCAATTAACCTCTCCTGTAATATTTCATGAAACTATATTGAAGAGCTCAATTAACCTCTCCCGTAATATTTCATGAAACTATATTGAAGAGCTCCATTAACCAATCAAGTAGTTGTTCTTGAAACTACATTAAAGAGCTTCATTAAATATTCAAGTAGTAGTTTGTGAAACTACATTGAAGAGCTCCATCAACCAGTTAAGTAGTAGTTCTTGAAACTACATTAAAGAGCTTCATTAAATATTCAAATAGTAGTTTGTGAAACTACATTGAAGAGCTCAATTATCCTTTCAAGTACTATTTACAAAACTAAATTGAAGATCTCTATTAACCTTTCAAAGAATAGTTTATAAAACTACATTGACGAACTCCATTAATCTTTCAATTATTAGTTCATGAAATTACATTAAAGAGCTCCATTTTATGGCTGCACAGATTCAGTATCAAAATTTTCAGATATTGTGAAGATGCAGCATAATAGATTGAAACATCCTCTGATCACCTGTTCATTATGGAGGTTGCCTATTTCAACAAAAAAATCTCAGATCCATTTAAGTAACTATTACATTTTCTAAAAGACTATTACCTGCTATTTTAATGATAATTTTGTATTTTATAGACAACATAGATGACTCATCCAGCCCTAACCCTGGTAAAGGTGGGTTTATACGATCACTAAATATTGGTAACACAACCCAACTGGAGAAAAGAATAAGGCAGGAATTAAAAGAGCAGGGTGAGTTGTAACTAATTAGTCTTGTGGTACACAGAAATTTCAAAATTTCCTTGTTCTACAGTTAGATGAACTAGCTTAAAACATATCTTACAATTTTTTTTAAAGGTTTCTGAAGATTGTAGAATATAAAAAAAAACTGTTATCTTTACTATGTGTGATGCCTATTGTTGCCTTTGTTGAAGTGAATAGCACTTTTTGTGAATGCTATTTCAGGTTAAATGCTGCCCTTAGAAGAGCTTATTTCATCATTGATTGTGCTTAGTCTTTTGGCATTAATAAGTAATTTATAAATTCCATACTTCTTGGAGGAGTGGTAAATGCAAATATCACAATTCTCATACCAAGGGAGATTGAGGATTTTTTAATGTTTCCTCATAAAACTAAGAACTTAAAATTTGTATTAAAATTTGATATATAAACTACATTTTAATGCCAAGTTTATTCATATATATAATGTTAATAAAGTAGTTTAATTAAATTTTGAATGTATCTCTTAAAAATATTGTGACGTACACTTTGACCTACACGAGCAAGAGGGTCAATTGTATATTATTGTTTGACAATTTTCATTGTAAAAAGCTTTTGCTCAAGGCCAATTTTAAACCACACACCTTGATAAACTTTCTATAGACCTCCCACTAGGTATGTGTATCAGCTTTAATAACCATGTTTAAGCAAACCAGTTGGATCAGCATCTGGAACTTGAAGTGTATGTGGTCATGTGGGATTATTGTAATTTCACTATCTTTCTCTCCGTAAATATTGTTGATTTTAAGTTGTGCCTCAAAGCTTGTGAGAATTTGTTAATTGTAAATCTTTTAATCTTCAGTACCATGAAATATACCTATCTTCTTTTTGATGACCTTTAGAGTAGGAGGATTTGCTTTCATGACTATAACTTTTTTGTACAATATATTCTTTGATTTGAATTCCTGTTTTCTTGGTAAGTGCACCTTACAGGAAAGGCACTGGTTGTACAGCTTCTCACTCCTGTGATTCAAACTTTAACTTTTATGCATTTGACATGTCTATCAACTACTGAAGGAAAAACAGAGATATAATGCATAAATTGACACATAGTAATGTTTTTCCCTTTGGTTCTTGTAGGTAGTGATGTGGTTCTGGCATAAATTCCTTATGAGTGGCTCCTTCAGGCTTATTTAGCTGCTCAGTAATTACAAGTGTCAACTGAACACCTTTATAGGACCAGTGCCAACAGTATGTTGAAATATCCAAAACCTAGTGAGCTAGCTCCTTTTGGCTTCCCTCGATGGACACAGCAGATAGCCCAATGTGGCTTTGCTATTAGAAAACGCATACACACACACACTTATATTACCTGAAACTCTTTCAGGATAATACTTTCTGAACTTCACCTGGAAGAGGATATTCTTTCCAAGTTGCAGAACCAAGGTGTTACAACCATCAAATGGATCTTTGTCTATAAGACTATAAGAATGAGAGATACGAGTCACAGGGTAGTAATTTTCACCTTTTCTTCACCCCATTCTCCTGACAATGTGAAGGCAGGATATATGAATTGTCCCATATTGCCTTATACTCCCAAGTCCATTTAGATATTTCAACTGCTAATAGTTTAGATATTCAAAGACTTTCTGTAGTATATCTTTTTTTCCTGTACCCATTACAGCAATAGGAACCACGATATTGCAGATGTTATTCTGAAACACTGTGCAAACTGTTAAAGAAGTGAAACATCTCTTGCAATGCTTTTATGAAAGTAGTTATGCTTCAGGCATGCAATCTACCATTTTCATTGTAGTTCGAAGACCTATTTCAGTGCTGTTATCTTTTCTGCCTTCTGCATAAGTGTACCTATGTGGTGTCAGTTATATTTGATTTTGCCAAGAGTCAGTAATGTAAGCCCCAAACATACTACCTGTGGTGCCATATGTCATATTTGCTCTTACAAAATATTATAAACCCTTTGTAAAAAAATCTAAATTTAGAAAATGTTTTGAGTATGAAAACATTAAGATTCTTTTACATGTAGAATGTACACATATAACAGTGATGAGTCCGTTTTAATTACTTTTCTGCATAATACATGTTCTAATTATGGAGATTTTGAAATCAGGAATTCTTGAGCTCGATGATGTTACAACAGAAAACCCTGAAGATGAGGTTCTTGCTGAGTTACGCAAGTGTCAAGCAGAATTAAAATCTGTCACCACCCAAAATATTTTACATGCAAAGCATTTACTCCACCAGGCAAAGGAAGAGATGAAAAAACAAGAGCTACGGAAGAAATTACTGATAATTGATACAGAGGTGAGATAAGACTTGAAATAATTTTCTTTGTAACATGGTTAATTAGAATTTTTCTTCACTTTTTTGAAAAGATTCAAGTAAGAAGTCTGTTATATCCAAGGCTGTTCCTCCCAATGTTACATCATTATGTAAAATTAACGTAATATAAGTAATTCAAAATGCATTGTTAATATTCCTAGAATTTCTGATCATAATACGCTACATGTAGTGACTGTATTCATTGAAACTTAAAAAATTGTGTGTGTAGTATTAATGGCTTCTGAAAAGAAATGTGACAAAAAAATTATAAGTGAAAAATTTTGTCATGACTTTATAATTTGCAAAAAAGTAATATTCCTTGGTTGCAAAGTTTGTGAATAATAGCTCACTCATAATCAACAGGTTAAAGTTGTATTTCAGTCCTGTTTCTTTTTACAAGTTGTGTACCGGTCCTGTTTATTTTTGTTATTTTATTTGTTTGTGTATAAGTCTCAGTTATTTTGATTAATCATTCTAAAAGTTATATTTGTGTAACAACCTAATTTTTCATGATTACTGTCTTGTTTATTGTGATTTATCACTCTGCAAGTTTCAGTGATGTATCATTTCTGTTTTTCGTTATTACTCTTTGAAGAAGTTATGATTGCTTTTCATCCTTTTTATTTTCATTACTTACAGGTAATGGAAGTATACAAAAAAATGGCAAGTGCTCGTCAGAAGAAAAAAATACCAACGAAGAAAGAAAAAGATCAGGCTTGGAAAGTACTAAAAGAACGAGAAAATGTACTGAAACAGCTAGATAGTTAAAGAGAAAGTAAATGTGAATGAGGAAAAACATCTAGTGAAGTGCAGTTTTACTTACATGAAAATAAAATAGGTCATGTTGCAGCTCACTGTTGGCATTTGTCATTTCCCTTTTTTGATATACATTTATCCGAGAAGAAAAATTTCCTGTGAGTTGTTAAATATTTGTCAGAGAAGTAAAAGCTGAATTGCAAACCTACTTTTTTTTTCAAAGAAGTTCTTTCTACTTAGGAATATTGTGTTTTATTTATTGTATGGATCTTTCACCTTCTACTTGCTATAATTTGATGTAAACTTATTGTTAGACCATAATCACTCTTTACAAAATGTCTCATGTTATAAAAGCATATGAAGTCTATGTTTGATTAGGCTCATGTAACCAGCATAAGTAGGGCCAGGATGGCCAAGTGGTTAGGGTGCTTCACTCACATTTCAAATCCCCATCCCACCAAACATGCTCGCCCTTTCAGCCATGAGAGTGTTATAACGTGGCTGTCAATCTCACTATTTATTGGTAAAAGAGTAGCCAAAGAGTTGGCGGTGGATAGTGATGACTAGGTGTCTTCCCTCTAGTCTTACACTGCTAAATTAGGGACGGCTAGTGCAGATAGCCCTCGTGTAGATTTGCACGAAATTCAAAGCAAACAAACCAGCTTAATGTGACAATGTAATTCTATTGGTTGCTGTAGATCATATCAACCTGATCATTTGGTATTGCATGAAAGGCTTTGAGGCAGTAAAATGCAACAAATTGTGAATAGTTTATGAAAGTATCATAATCATTTCTAATTCATTCAAAGTGCACATTATGACCTTTTACAAAGTTACATTCAAAATTTAATTAAACAACTTTATTATCAATGTACAATAATAAATTGGCATTAAAACATTGTTTTTAATCAAAGTTTTATGTTATCTTCAGTTCTAAATTTCAGAAGGAAATATTTAAATAAATTCTCGGTCTTCACTTTGTGTCATAGGATGCATCTCTTCTTTCAATTCAGATTTTTAGTAATAAAAGAACAGAATATTACATGTGGCAAATAGTAAAAAAAAAAACACGGTAAAGGGAACAAACTGTCAGAAGACATGAGACTGAAAAGGATGCACAAATATGTTAAAACTAGTTTCTCTAATAAAGAGACTTGTGACAGGTCATTCCATTTATTCTGGTTTTTCACTCATATTGTTAGTTTTTATCTGTTCCCTTTTGTGACCTTCAGAGTTTCCAACATAAAATTTATTGCATCTACCATAAAAGCTCCTCCCATCTCGTCATACATTTGAAGCCACTTGTTTACTCGTGCTGACCTGTCATGTTGAAAGAACATTTAATGAACTAAGCAACTATGAAAATGTCTTTTTATTTTTTACAGTCAAAACTGCTATTTTGCAAAGAAATCTTAAATGTGTGTGGACTAAAGTCCTTGTTCAGAGCAGTAATGAATTTTTTTGAATGTATTTATAGCTTAGTTACAAAGCTAGATACATTATAGTAGTTTTGGGACATTCTAATTTAATGCACAATATATTTTTTGTATTATAAAACACACATTTTATTTTATGGACAACCAACACATAAAAAAGATAGGGTTATGAAAGTAAGCAAACTGTCACTGGGCTAAGTACTAAATTTATTTATGTATATTTTTTTATTTATTGTTATTCTTTTCTTTAACAAAAAGCAACTACATTTTTAAAAATTAAAAACATATTAGGTTAAATAAAAAGAATAATTTCCAATTCACTCCTTTGAACATGCAGCTTCATGTATGATGTAGCTTGATTGTTTCTCTGCTTTTGCTGTATGGTTTATTGCTTGTCACTGTACTGAGAGAGAGTTTGAAGAACAATAAGATTAAGTGAAAGCAGGTGTGAAAAGATTAGAAACTAAGGCTCTTAGGATAAAATATTGTAATTGTCTGTAGTCTTCCTGGAAAAATGTTTTTGATTTTATTTCATATTTTTCAACTTTTCATCTGATCATGCATTGATGATTTTGTTACAGTTCATGTTAGATGAAATAAAACATAAAATATATAGTTTCACTGAAAAACTAGGTTCTCATTTAGGAGGATCTAGAGGTTATGCAAATGAAATATGAAAACTGTAAGATTAAAAGTACTTTTATTCTTAACATGAAAATCACCTTTTACTCGAATTGACAAAGTAATGACTACAGAAATGCACAGACATATCTTAAGTAGAAATATTTTATTAAAAATTCTAATTTCTTTTTTAACAGACTTGTAACGTTTACTAAATGCTGGCCAAAGTTTGTGAAGATGCACATTGTAAATTTAGAATTATGGTAAACATTTGTACGTATAGTTTCACAAATATGGGGTCTAGTTAATGTGAAGTTTCTTGCCCGTTATCAATAAATAATCATACTTTGCCAGTTTAGGTGTTATATACCATATCACATGAGCAAAATGTTTAATAATGGAGCATGACATTCAAATAAATAATAGTTAAAAATGGGTGGACTGGGACACCAGGAAAAATCCCAGTGGGTTCCCTTGATTATAATAGATTAATAATCCTGTGTCAGCACAAAGTGAAATAATTATTTGTCTACTGCCATCACATTAGCATTTCAATTAATGTGTATTAATTCTACCAATAATGACGTGCATTAAAAAGGATTTACTTGGCATTATTTCTGTTCAAAATATTAGCACCTATCTTGTGAAGAATTCCTCAGTGTTTTTGAAATTTCTAATCATGTAAAGTATGTATAACTAATATTTTAACATTCAATTACAAATACTTCTGTATTTTTCTTATTTTATGACAAATTTGTGGGCTCCTTCTAGCTTTTATTTCAGTAGAATTTTAGAGTTCACTCTGCCCCTGATATTAAGGTCAAGTAACAATTAAAATGATGAAAAATAAGACTGCAAAATTTGTATCTCAAAATATGATGATGACAGATTTATCAGCTCTCTAATGCGAAGACAGAAACCAAAATCATAACACATACAATTAGAGGAATTTGTGAAGTACTGGTAAAATAAGCAGTTTAAAAAAATAAAAAATATATTAAATGATGTAAGTTCTAATTCACAAGTCAGAACAGAATTATAAAGTGGCACAATAATTATTAGTTGAAAAAAAAAGTAAAGGTTGCTAAGTTATTCTCAATAAAAGAAAAATAATTCCTTATATCAAATGAAAGAAAAACTTAAATTGTGCAATGTAAAACTATTGATTTGTAAAGAAGTGCATTCATAAGTTAATACAGTAAAAAGTTATTTTTAATGTTACACAGAGTATTAATTGAAATAAAGATCTTGGACATAAATATTTTGAAAATTGTACAAAAAATAATTATTTCTAGAGCAACTCCTGTCTTGTATCAGGTGATATGTGACTTGCCATGTTTTTTTTTCTCAATTTCTCAATTTATACTGTTTTTTTTTTGTTTTTTTTTGCCATTGGTTGAATATGAATTAACCTTGAGTTTAAAAGAGTTAAATTGAAACATAAACAATTGATAGGTAGAAAACCATTACATTAATTTCAAATTCAGTTTATACTGTCAGACTGAATAAAATACTGTAAGAACAGAACAACACAAAAGAACCTCAGATGAAAAGATAATCCAAAGGATACCCAGGTGAGAAGCAAGTTTGGTATATTTTTCTTGATTAAGAGAGCCCATCACATGGTGGATAACAATCTAGAAAAGCTGGCTGGAAAATCATTTTAAGACAAAGCACCAATCAAATTCTCTGAAAATTTTATTTTTTTGTGATATATACATGTATAAGAGCAAATTAATTCTCAGCAATATTATCAAACTTAATTCAGTTTTTTCAAAAAAAATTTTGGCACCTGTGTAATGTTCAATCTTAAAAACTAACAATTTTTTAAAAATAACAGTTATTTTATACACAATTCTATGAAAATTAGATTGTTTCCAGTCTCCAAATTACTAAAATAATAACTTACTGTACAAGGCTAAAAAGTGGTAAAAAAAAAAACAACGATGAAACTGAAAAACAATCTCATACACTACATGTTTCCACATATATTATTATGTCATCCTCAGGAGTGTAATGTTTTGCAAAAAATAGCACTTATGTAATACATTTTTGAATTGACCACAAAATAGTTTAATAATTGTTTCTTTATTAAATCCATTGAATATTAATTTTTGTATTAATATTGACAATAAAATATTGTAATTTATTATAAATTTTACAAAATCTGAGAAATTGGGAAGTTATAAAACTTAAAATAGAAGAAAATGGCATATTACTGTTCGAAGAGGTTAGGCTTATATTCGATAAAAATTCTATTATCAAAACATTTAAATTAATACTTGATTAATTATTTTGATTTCTATGTCTAAATAATGTGCTTCTACTGAACTTCCAATTTTACCGAATAACTAGTTTCAATAAAATTACTTATCTCAGGATAATTTATACTCATTAAATCAGCTATATACCTATCAGCTAAGGCAAACATTTCCTGCTTTATAGTGTTTTCATTGAACTTATTTTCACAAAAATAAAGATATAAATTTGCTATACAGGTACAATAGTTAGCTCCCTTTGGAACTCCTTTTTTTAAATACCTGATTATTAAAAAATTACTATTATTATAAATACAAAACTTAATATATTGTTGCGTCATCGAGATCA